CTTAAAAAAACTTTTGAAAAAAAACTTTTCTTCCAATAATTAATAGGTTTAATATCAAATGCATTATTAAGTAAATATCATCAAGATGTCAACAAGAAAAACAGAAAATAAATCAAATATATACATTTTGGATGAATGCTTTAAACTGTTAAAACAATTTCTTTTCTGAAAACTTTAAAGCAAGTGATTGAAAGATTTCTTTACTTTAAAGAACAGTGTGCATAGTGATGAGACTATAAAACTGTTCATAGTAATGAGACTATAGAACAGTGTTCAATGAACACTGTTTAAAGTGATGTTAGTGTAAAAGACTATAGAACAGTGTTCGTAGTGATGTTAGTGTAGAACTTTATGTTTTTTATGTATGTCTGTGTTCTGTCTGAACCTCTGGCGCAGTGTTCGCTCACCCGTAAGTTACTTTATGTTTTTTATGTATGTTTGTATTCTGTCTGAACTTCTGGCGCGGTGTTGACTCACCCGTAAGTTGATTTATGTTTGTTTGTGTTCTGTTTAATCTCTGATGCAGCGTGTGCTCAGTAACTAGCTACTTACTCCAACTACAAAACCTACACTCCTGTATTTTGTTAGATGCAGTGTTTTTCCTAATGCACTTCCAAAATGTCATGCCTGGTTTTCTCAAAGTGCTGTTGCGGGAAGTAACTTCTTTTAACTACTCCAGGTCAGGTCAGGATAATCAAGATCAATCTTGCTACTGGTATCACATAACCCAGTACCACCTGCCACAAGCCCTGCTGGCTTGAAGAGTGTGCTCTTCTTAGGCAAAGCTTATAAGAAATAAACTCCGACTAAAAATTCCCCTGCCTTGGGGCTCTTGGTTGAGTAAAGGCTAGAGATGGTGTCTCGATAAAAATACTCATCTTGGGCAGATGTTAACTGCATCCAACTACTGTCTTGTAGAAGGCCTCCTAGGCAAAGACTTTAGGGGTTAGCAGAAAAATTCTGCTAACCAGCCTAGAACCCCTTCTTCATCTATTAGGCTGGCGTAGATATAACCTGTGTTACATTGTTTCCTGCCTAGGATGATGAATGCTGGATCTCCTTGACTCTATTCATAGAATTTTGCTTATGCCTCCTTGATAATGGCTATGCAACTCTTCCTGTTATCTCCATATGAGGGTACAGCTCTAAAACTCAGTTTAATGGTTCTGAGGCCGGCTGGTAGTAAGGTTTCCCGAACTCTGTGGTAGCTCTCAGAGAGGCTGATTTTATCAACAGCTGTAAAATATCAGAGTATTAACAGTGCCATGTTGTGCATGGGTGGTGTCCCTGTTAATGATTTTGGTGTGCATTGTCAAGGCCACATAAGGAGCCCTATGTCACGGCTTAGGGTTAATTAACAGGACTGAGACAACTGCATAGCTCATTGATTAGGAGGCTGTGCTCTATCTATGAATGAGTCAAGTTCTCATTAAACCCAAATCATGACCAAAGTAACCAAAAATTTTAAACCTAAAAAACCATCTCCACCACCTAAATGGTTTAATATATCTTTTTCAAATATTCGTGGTCTGCGAAGCAACTTTCCGTCAGTTGAGTCTTACCTCCTGCAAAATTCACCAGACTTGCTTGCACTCAGTGAAACAAATTTAAATTCTGCAATTCCTTCTTCAGATATCAGTGTTGATGGGTACTATCCTTTGATTCGTAAAGACTCCAAGGGGAATACATACACATTAATTCCCCTATTTTAGGGGAATACATACACATTAATTCCCCTATTTGTCGTGAAATCAGGTTCGAATCCTTTGACCATTCTTTTATGTGCTTTCGCCTAGCACCTCTTCACTCTATCACCTTTCTCTTTGTTCTTAATCGTTCTCCTTCTTCCCGTGATTGCACTTTTTTAGATGTTATCTCTGATCAAATTGACCATGCCCTCTCTCTTTACCCCTCTGCCAATATTGTTGTTCTTGGTGATTTTAACGCCCATCACACTGAATGGCTTGGCTCTAACCACTGATCCTGCTGGCACTAAAGCCTTTAACTTCTGCGTTTCTCAATCTCTTACTCAGATAGTTGACTTTGTGACTCGTTTTCCTGACAACCCTAATCATTTACCTTCATTCCTTGACTTATGTCTTGTCTCTGACCCTAGCTTATGTTCAGTTTCTCCCTTTTTTCCCTTAAGTGGTTCTGACCATGCAATGATCTTTATAAATCTTTCTTCTCGTACTTCTTTTTTGGGCTCACCTTATCATCGCACCACCTACTACTACCCTAAAGCTGACTGGGATTCTTTTCGTGATTTTTTTCGTGATGGTCCTTGGGCTGATATTTTTTCTCTCTCAGCTGATAAATGCGCCTCCTACGTAACCTCCTGGATTCAGGCTGGAATGGAAGCTTTTATTCCTTCTTGTTGGTTTCAAGTCAAGCCTCATTCTACTCCATGGTTTTCTCCTTCTTGTGCGGCTGCTATGTGCAATCGTAATCATTTTATTCATCTTTTTTAAAAGAACAACTCTCTTGAGAACAACAGCTGTTTATTATTGCAAGAAATCGATGTAAAAAGGTGCTTTCTGATGCTAAACTCCATTATTCTCAGTGCACTAAATCTTGCATCTTATCACAGAAGTTAGGCTCTAAAGACTTTTGGAAAATCTTCAACAGCATTATTAACAAGGGTAGATCTAACATTCCATCTCTCATTCATGGGACTGATCTTATTACCTCTCCCAAGGTAAAGGCAGAACTATTTGCAAAGAACTTTTCTTCTAATTCCACTCTTGAATCTTATGGACATTCTCTTTCTTCCATTCCAGTCAAACAGGTTGACCCATTGTTAGACATTCAAATCACTCCGGCTTCTGTTGCTAAAGTCATATCTCAATTAAACTCGTCTACAGCTTGTGGTCCAGACAACATTCCTGTCACAGTCTTGCAGAATTGTTCTCCAGAACTTTCTTCAATTCCCCCAAAACTATTTAACAAGTGTTTGACTGAGTCTTGTTTTCCTGCTTGTTGGAAAATAGCATCTGTGGTTATATCTGTCATTAGAATTAAAACTCAGCAGTTACATTAAAACTCAGCAGTTACATTGAAAATTTTTATGTGAGCTATTACAAAAAGAATAGAGGACAAAAATATGAAACAGATGCAGCAGGATTTATATATGAAACAGATGCAGCAGGATTTATATATGAAGCAAATCAATTATTTGATGTTCCAATTCTATAAATTATGAAAACTAAAGTACCTATATTTGAAAAAACATTCTGTATCTATGTTATTAGAAATTTCTATTTTCAGGTGACTTTTACTTTGATCACATAACACCAAAAAGCGGAATAGATGTAGCTTATGGAATATTCAAAAACTATTAGGAACAGTGCTTCAAACAAGACTGAACTTAGTATAGGCAGATGTAACTAATGATAATATTGGTCATTCAAGTGATTCTATTAAATAGTTGCAAGTTTTTCTAGGAGTTCAATCAATAGGATGTTTGTATTTTACATCTAAATATAACTTTTAAAGTATCTTCCATCTAAAAGTTATTTTTAAATCGAGTTTTCTTGGAAATTGATGGAGCTACTAAAGGACAAGATAAATTTTTTGTAGCTGTTGGCTCACAACTGAATGGCAATGTTTCCAAATGGGGTACTGCTAAATTAGGGCCAACTCCAAATCCAAAATTTGATATACCAGATGATAGTCATTAATGTCTTATTGACTGACCAATACTATGCTTATCGCATTTGTTGGGGTGTAATCGCAAGGAACATAGATGATTTGACCTTTTTAGGAATTTTTCAGCCTTATAAATCATTCTTGTTGGCATTAGCATGCAGAATCTTGGGGTATCTATTTCCAAACCCATTAAAAATCTAAAGTTTTTTGCTATTTAGTTGGTGTGATATTAAGATTAAAAAATCTTTAACTTACCGTCCCAAAAACTTATTTAATGTGATTCAAAGAATCAATAAATTTCCTGATTCAAATACAGTTATTTTGCTCATGGTAAAAATCTTCTCATCAGAAAGTTAGCCGACTAGGAATTTTTTCTGAATCGATTGGTATTCAATGCTTGAAGCTTGTTTTATAATTTATGACTTATTTTTGCATTTTCAACCCATAAAATGTCAAAAATTTTACATTTTAAGACTTAAACCCAAGTGGGTTGGCTAAAATTAGTAACCGCTGATTTTTTTCTTCATAAATGTGTTTTAAAGATCAAAAGCCAAGTATTAGAAAGGGACACTTTTTGATTTGTTAAAATTTTTTACCTGAGAAGGGCACATGCCCCGCTTTGTTGTAGTGGAAACTTGTGATAGATTTTTTACTATTCTTCAAACTAGCTGGAGCTCTGAAACTTTCAGCATTTGTCTAATCTCGATGAACAACTGTTTAAATTTTTTCTATTGTAGACCATTCTAGAGTCCATGGGGCTGGGGCAACGGGGGCTTTTTTTTGTCCCACTTTTTTTCACCAAAAAAAAAAAACATTTTATAATAAAAAATTTTTCAGAAGATAAGGTCGTTTTTAACAATTATTTTGATTTTGATGAAAGAATTTTTAATGATCTTTGTTAGAATGTTTTAAGAAAGTTCTTTAATAACAGAATTTTACATTGAATAGTTTGAAACTTTTTTAATTTTGAATAAATGAACAATTTGAAATATTTTCTAAAATGTTAAAAGCAAGTTGTTTTATTAAATAAGAGCTATTAAGAGTAAAAAAAAAATATATCCTGTCATTACATTTCAATAGAAGAAATTTAATACCTATTTAATTCATCAATAAAAATTTTTATTAACATTAAAAAAATTTCTTGATGTTAACACATCAAGAAAATTTTTAAATGTTAACACATCAAGAAATTTTTTTAATTTTGACCCATCAATAAAATTTTTTAATGTTGACACATCAAGAAGTTGATTTCAATTAAACAACCATGTTAAAAGTAATACATTTTTTTTCTCGTTCAAAAAAACATTAAAAAAATCAATCATTGTTTAGTGTTCCATTATCATGGTGTTTAAGTTGCTTTCATTAAGTTATTTCTCATTTTTAATCCGAAACTTAGTAGTTAGTTTTAAGTATTACTTTTTACAAATCTTTAACTTTTCTGACAATCTGAGAGCAGATAAGTGTTGGGTTCTAATAACTAACATAATTTGTATCATTGATATACCTGTCACAACAACTGGATGTTGTATAGTTAGACCGTTGACGCATCTAAGCAAATCTTAACACAATCTTGACACTTATTTTTCATATTTTATTTTATTTTGTAAATTTTATAATTTTACACAATTCAATTATCTAAATGCGTTTTTTATTCCTGGAAACAATTTTAACACACACTTTTATTGGAACTATGCAAATGCTAAAAGTTTCTGAACTCCAGCTAGTCTGGAAGGTAGTGAAAATGAAGGTAGTTGACATAAACATATGTGTATGTAAACGGCAAATTTGTTATGTAAAAAGCATACAGGATGAGGTCTTAAAACATAATATAGTTTATATATATAAATATCATATTTTTTTTGATTGAACCATGGATCCTCAAATTGCTACTTTTTGTTGGAGCAGCAAAGTCTTGCAGCTCTCAATTCTCAAAAACGTTTTTATCACAATTAATAACAATTCATTATTGTTTTGGATTTAAAACATTTTAAATGGGTTCAGAAACATAGGGGTTTAGATTTTTTTTCACTCAATTCAAGAAATCACATATAATGAAGGTAAGATTTTTAGTATTGATACATATTCCAAACCCTATTGTTTTATCACAATTAATAATATTCATTATTGTTTTGGATTTAAAACATTTTACTTAGAATAAAAATATTTAAAACTGCAACATGAATTATGTAACATTTAGGAAATATTTCTGGTATATACTTTAAAAAAATGTTTATATGTTAATATTAATATTGTTTAAAAATTTTATTATTAATTAAAAAAAAACTACTGTAATTACCTGCTTTCAAATCTAACAAGTCAATGCAAAACATTCAAATTTGCTAAAAGTATTTTTAAATATTTTAATATACAATAAAAACTTTATTTTTGATCATTCATAAGTAATTTTTTGTAAATAATTAATAAAAATAATAATAAATCAAAAAATAAATGTATGTAATAATATTAGTATCAAAATCTTTAAAGCAGAATTCAAGAATTCAATATACTCAAATATATTTTTCACTGTAGCAGTAATAGACAAAATAGCAGTAATAGACAGATTTTTTACTGTAGCAGTAATAGACATTGTGATGAAAACATTTAAAATACTCTAAAGATAAAAAGATTTAAAACACATCTTCTTTAGTTCTTTAGGTGAAATTATTGAAAAGCTTGAGGGAAAGTCTTTAGTTAGGTGAAATTATTGAAAAGCTTGAGGGAAAATATTCAAAAGCAAAAATCAGTAGCCAAGCCAAGCTGTAAAAAAATTCACAGCTTCACATGCCTGATCCTGATGTGTAAGATTCAATAGTTTTAGTATCAAATACTTCATCAGAATTTGTAAAACCTAAGTTTGCAAACATCATTGGAGTTAAAAAATTCAAGTTATTGTGCTATCCAAGTATATTTTTTCATGCAATTTATTTGACAAACTAATAAAATCTAATAATAGCAATACTCATAATAAAAAAAAGTACATAACATACTGCAATACAAACATAATTCAATAATATAAAATAAAATAAAATAATTTGTTTATACCTATGTGTTTTATTAACTAATTTAGTTAATAAAGCACATTTAAAAAAATGAATCTAATTTGATTTTGAATTGCAGTTAAATCGGGGTGGAGTGAATGGTCTGACTGGTCTGATTGTGTACTGGATTGGAGAAAACAATGTACTAAAGCTATTGTGCGATTTTGTGTATCTAAAGATATCAGTAAGTGTCCTGGAGTAAATAGTTATGGAACACAAGATATAGTCAAAGTTTGTGGAATCCAAGAATGCAAAGGTTAGCAAGATATTTTTTAATTGTTCATTTATTTTCTTATTGTTCACTTATTGTTCTAATTGTTCATTTATTTATAGAACTATTCCTAATCCTTCAAATTATTGTTATTTTATATTATTTTATTTTTCTATACAAGTTATACTTATTATATTTTTATTTATTATATCTTATTAACATATATATAATAATAAATATATAAAATATTAAAGGATAAAGATTAAAAATTTTTAAAGGATTATATATACACTTACTAAAGCGTGTTTTGATAAGTATTTGCTCACTTTTTCTGCTTACCTTAAGCTATACCGTTTAGAAAAAATGAAGAATGATAATGAAACGATTGCTTACCCATCCCAAACCCTCAGTCGATGTAGCAGCACTCCACTGCGTGTCAGGCTATTTGTCAGTCAATGTATGTACTGAAGCCCCACCAACAGGCTATTTCAGTATGACGTCAGATTGCTTACCTTTTTACAGTACGCAATACTATTTATATATATAGCATCTCCTGTGCCATCTACTAAAATTCATTCTCGTGTTACTTGTCATTCAATTAAGTCTCATCCTTTTTCTGTTACTGTTCCTAAGTGCTCCAAAAACTCTTATTTGTCTAGTTTTTTTCCTCGAACATCAGTTCTTTGGAATTCGCTTCCTTCATCTTGCTTTCTTGATTCATATAATTTGCAATTTTTTAAGTTGTCTGTCAATCGTTATCTTGCTCTACAATCTTCATCTTTTCTCTTCCAGTTCCAACTTCCAACACTAATTAGTGGTTGCTTGCAGCCTTGTTGGAAGCGAAGATGTTAAAAAAAAAATATATATATATATATATATATATATATATATATATATATATATATATATATATATATATATATATATATATATATATAATAAGTTTATACATATATACATATTATACATATATACATATTATACATATATACATACATATTATATATATATATATATATATATATATATATATATATATATATATATATATATATATATATATATATATATGTATATATATATATATATATATATATATATGTATATATATATATATATATATATATATATATATATATATATATATATATATATATATATATATATATATATATATATATATATATATATATATATATATATATATATATGGCACCCGTATAATGCGGTATTCCCAGTTGGTTTAAAATTCCCAAAGGTTTATAAAATCATAGTAAAAAAAAAAAATTTTTTTTTTTTTAATTGTGCTTTTCTTGAAATACGTAATTAAGGCATTTTGAAAAACGGCTGCAGTATATCAAAAACAAAGAAAAGAAGCAATTTAAATGAAAACTTTAGAAGATTGCTCATAATGAAACAAGTTGATTAATTTTTTTTTATTTTTTTATTTTACTTCACCTCCTCAAGGCCGAGAAGGCCACTACAGACGAGGAGGCTACTTATTTTGTGGCTATAACCCTCTCTCAACTCTATAACTCCGAAACACGAACCTTGACGAACAAGGCCGCTGCGCGGAGAAACGAGTTGAGCGCGGTACTACCAGGGACGTGGTGGGGATCGAACTCGGAACCACTCGTTTATGAAGCGAGCGCTCTACCACTACACCACTACCGCATAATATATTAAAATTAAACATATATAAAGTAGAAAAATAATCCTTCTGTAAATGTAACTCCCAGCAAAAATAGAAAGTTTATTTTGATTAAAACTTAATTGCAGAATGTAATGCAGAATGACCTCTTTTTTTTTTTTTTTTAGCCGCACCTAAATTCCCAATTTCGCCAAAATGCTGTATGAAATTTTTCCTGGGTAATACCCTGATATATATATATAATACATGCCTTATTAAGAAACGCTACACTGCTCACATTTTACATGCGAAAAAGGCAATTTGCTTACGCCCTCAGCAGTTTTACGTTACGCGAAAACTTTTATTTGAATTATCTTTTTATGTGATGTTTTATTCAGAAGATATTTGGTTGTAAATAAAAGCATTTAACCGCAATTGTGAACTAACTAATTTTTTTTTATAATTTTTTTTTTTAATTAAAAATGAATTCAAGAAAATAAAGTGTTTTAAGTTTAAACTTTTCATTATATTTAATTCAAAAAATACATAAAAAAAACTTATGATTAATTTAAATTACTTAAATTAATCATTTGATTAAAGTATTGCCTGATCATCAATTGGCAAGACCCAGGGTTAAATTTACTAGCAGCAGTCTTGTTCGGATAGGTCTTTAGATTTGACAAAAATTTGATGTCATTGAGAGGGACTTTGATTCCAAGTGGTGCTTCGTTCCACTGTTTGACATGAATATCACTGTTTGAGCCAAACCTGTGATATTCTTGGATTCACAAGCAGTCAACTTGAACTGAGTCTTAAAAAAAAGATTTTCAGTGCATAAATGGCTTTTGCCATCCATCGCACATGATGTCTTTGACTGGGAGCTCAAAATTTGTTACTGCTTTTTTTTCCACCAAGAAACCAGAAGGATAAACATAAAATTCCTGCTAGTCATCCCTTGGCTGCTGTATTTCAAGAGCACTTAGTAAATAGATAGACATTTCCTGTCACATCTTCTTTAATTTTGGATCCTGAAACAGTTCATCAATTGCTATACAATAAACATTGATGGCCATTGTTTCTGAAACCTTTTGAATAGTGCAGTTGATAGACCTTCAGATGGACCAAACAAAGACGTGAGAACATTTGAAAGGACAACTTCAAAAGTGGTCCTGTCAAAGATTAATTTGTTCTGGATTGTCTGATTGAACTTCGAGACAATGTTATTTCTGAAATGTCATGGCCCAGTGTCTGTGCAACAGCTCTGGCAACAAACACAACTCTACGGTCTGGGAGGCAAACCTGATCCAAAGCACCTCAACTTCAGGGGACTGGAAGATATTCTTATATTTCTTTTGTGATGATAAAGACCAAGCTGTTGAATCTGTTAATTTTGACATGGCTGAGTTTCAGTTGGCTGATACTCCTCATCTTCTTCTGACTCCGAACTAGATGTCAAGGACAAAAGTTCATTATCTGTTCCACTAATGCCCTTGGTCATGCGTTCTTCATATCTCATTTTCACCTTTCTCTCTTTTTCCTCTCATTGCCTCTTCCTGCTTTCTTTTGCTACTGTTTTTACATTGACTGCACTCATGCTGCAAGAAAAAACATCTTTGCTTGAGAAGGAATTCCTTATCTTCTTTGTTCTGTATTTCTGTCATGATGTCCTTTGTCGCAATATCAAACAATTCTTTAAGGTTACTTTTAAACATGTCTTCTTTCATCCTGTCGCTTACTTGTTCTCATGTTTGGTGTACCTTCAGAGCCAGATAGTTCTGATGCAGCTTTGACAGTTTTCAGACACATGAGTCAATGCACTGTGCTGGAATCCTGGCTCGCATCCATATACAAATAACTGCATCATAAGATATTTTATAACTTTCCAAAAGGGTTCGTCCTTCAGTTAAATGATGAAACTGGAACAGTTGAAGTACATCCAGCATACGTGGTAATCTTGCTGTAGATAATTGAGAAATTGGCTTTCCAATTAGCCAGTTAAAGAGTTCAATGTCAATTCAATATTAATTCAGTAACACCTTCAAAATAAATAAAAATATTCACATTAGAATTCAGTACACAAGTAAGTAAATTAATTTATAACTCATCACAGTTGGACAGAAATCGCAAGCGCGGACATCAGACAAGTATTGTTGATAATGGTTTGACCTCTAAATGTTGCTCAATCAGCCTAAAATTTTGCAGGCCAAATAACTATACCCAATGGACAAAAACAAGCCATGTGGAGCAATGATTCTGCAAATTAAACCTCTCAGTATGGTTTTGTGGACCACCCTAATATATATATATATATATATATATATATATATATATATATATATATATATATATATATATATATGTATATGTTTTTTTTTTTTTTTTTTTTTTTTAACATCTTCACTTCCAACAAGGCTGCAAGCAACCACTATAAGAGTTGGAAGTTACTGGAAGAGAAAAGACTAAATCTGTAGAGCAAGATAACGATTGACTGATGACTTAAAAGATTGCAAATTATATGAATCAGGAAAGCAAGATGAAGGAAGCGAATTCCAAAGAACTGATGTTCGAGGAAAAAAACTAGAAGAATAAGAGTTTTTGAAGCACTTAGGAACAGTCACAGAAAAAAGATGAGACTTAATTGAATGGCGAGTAACACGAGAGTGAATTTTAGTAGATGGCACAAGGGACGCTAGCTCTTTAGAGCAGTGCCCATTATAGTATTTGTAGAAAAGAGAAAGAGAAGCAACATTACGACGATGTGACAAAGGTTGGAGATTGGCTGCCAGAGCAGGTCCAACTATGTTTACAATTCGTTTTTGCACCTTGTCTAAAAGAGAAAGAGCATCATTAGAAGATCCGCCCCAGATGTGGCAACAGTATTCCATACAGGGACGGATTTGAGATTTATAGAGATAGAGAATAGAATCTGGAGTAAGAAAGTGTCGAGCTCGATAAAGAGATGCAACCTTAGCAGATGCTAATTTTGCAATGGATTTGATATACGGTTTAAAAGAAAGATCAGAAGTAAGAGTTAATCCTAGAAGATGAATGGTAGATGACTCATCTAGTACATTACCATTCATAAATATAGGAAGATCTAAATTATTACGATAACGATTGGCCGAATAAAATTGAGTTTTATCTGAATTAAAGTTCACCAGCCACTGTGAGCCCCATGCTGTAGCAGAAGTGAGATCCTTTTCAAGCTCAGATACCCCCTCCAAGCAATCAGAGAGTGTAGGCTTCTTATCATGACAAGAGTAAATGGTAGTGTCGTCAGCGAATAATGCCACCTTAGATGAGAGAATATCTGGAAGATCGTTAATGTAAATTAAAAAGAGTATAGGGCCAAGGATTGAACCTTGAGGAACCCCTGAAGTTACAGGACGTGAAGAAGAGTGTTGTCCATCGAGGA